TATGCATGAAATTGCACAGATGTCTGCCAAGTTGCACTTGAAGTCGCACTGACATGCGGCTTTGAAATCGTGCAACTTAAGGTGAAGTTGCACGATTTCAAAAGGTGGATCCAGTGTAAACCAGGGCTTAGTTATACTAGTTAGTTGCTATTATTTAGTTAGGCAGACTAGGGAAAATTTTTGCAGAAAAAAGTTATAGTGAATATATTGCTGATTTAAATGGTGTGTCAAGCTTGATGTAATATTGATTTTTAAAACAAAGGTGCAGTTTTTCATTAATTTTTATTTATTTTATTTAGCAATTAAGGATTAGTTAACCTAAATGCAGAGTTTTTTCATCCAATAGGTTTTTATAAGTGGCCAAAACATTGGAAGCATCTTCATGCACAATTAGCAAAATTACTTTGTCTCAATTTTGTGATTGGTTGAATCTGTGACAGCCAAATGAGCCAGCTGGTAAGACGCTAAACCGCCAAGTCACAGAACATTCAGATTTGTTCTAAATTTCAGAATAGATTTGATCAGTCAACTCTAGCACTTGTTTCAAGAAATAATTGTATGAAAGATGAAAAAATGTTTAATTGAAATTAAGCATTCAGGTAATGCTTTTTTTTTTTTTTTTTTTTTCATTTTTCTTACCAATTGTCTATATAAGGTTTTGCTGGTAGATGTACAGTAACGATGGACTGTTTTTTCGCCTAAACTTAGAGTGTGTGAATGTGTTCTAAAAAGTCTACACACCCCTGTTAAAATGTTATGTTTCTGTGATGTAAAAAGATTAAATCATTTCAGAACCTTTTCACCATTTTAATGTGACCTATAAACTGTACAACTCAATTGAAAAAAAAAACTGAATTTTTTTAGGGGGGGGAGTAAACCTAAAAAACTAAAATAATGTGGTTGCATAAGTGTGCACACCCTCTTATAACTGGGGATGTAGCTGTGTTCAGAATTAAGCAATCACATTCAAAATCATGTTAAATAGGAGTCAGTACACACATGCCATCATTTTTAAAGTGCTTCTGATTAACCCGAAATAAAGTTCAGCGGTTCTAGTAGGTCTTTCCTGACATTTTCTAAGTCGCATCCTACTGCAAAAGCCATGGTTCGCAGAGAGCTTCCAAAGCATCAGAGATCTCATTATTAAAAAATGATACTGTGGAGGAATGCTAGTAACTAAATTGGATGGTTAAATGACTTTTAATGTCTTATGTAAAATAACTTCTAGTAGTATGTATTACTACGTTATAAACTGCTCAAAAAAAATTAAAGGAACACTTTTTAATCAGAGTATAGCATCAATTAACCTCCTGGGATATTTATCTGGTCAGTTAAGTAGCAGAGGGGGTTATTAATCAGTTTCAGCTGGTTTGGTGTTAATGAAATTAACAGTTGCACTAGATGGGCAACAATGAGACGAGCCCCCAAAACAGGAATGGTTTTACAGGTGGAGGCCACTGACATTTTTTTTTTCCCTACTCCTCTTTTCTGACTGTTTTTCACTAGTTTAGCATTTGGCTAGGGTCCGTGTCACTACTAGTAGCATGAGGCAATACCTGGACCCTACAGAGGTAGCACAGGCGGTCCAACTCCTCCAGGATGGCACATCAATACGTGCCATTGCCAGTTTTGCTCCGTCTCCCAGCACAGTATCATGAGCATGGAGGAGATTCCAGGAGACGGAGTTACTCTAGGAGAGCTGGACAGGGCCGTAAATCCATAACCCATCAGCAGGACCGGTATCTGCTCCTTTGTGCAAGGAGGAACAGAATGAGCACTTCCAGAGCCCTACAAAATGACTTCCAGCAGGCCACTGGTGTGAATGTCTCTGACAAATCAGAAACCGACTTCATGAGGGTAGCCTGAGGGCCCGACGTCCTTTAGTGGGCCCTGTGCTCACTGCTCGGGCACCATAGAGCTCCATTGGCATTTGCCACTGAACACCAGAATTGACAGCTGTGACACTGGCACCCTGTGCATTTCACAGATGAGAGCAGATTCACCCTGAGCGCATGTGACAGACGTGAAAGGGTCTGGAGAAGCTGTAGAGAACGTTATTCTGCCTGTAACATAATTCAGCATGACTGTTTTGGTGGTGGGTCAGTAATGGTTTGGGAGGCATATCCATGGAGGGATGCACAGACCTCTACAGGCTAGATAATGGCACCCTGACTGACATTCTGTATCGTGATGAAATCCTTGGACCCATTGTCAGACCCTACACTGGTACAGTGGGTACTGAGTTCCTTCTGGTGCATGACTATGACCAGGCTCATGTATGCAGGCAGTTCCTGGAGGATGAAGCAATTGATATCCTTGAATGACCCCCACGCTCGCCTGTCCTAAGTCCTATAGAACCTCTCTGGGATATGTTTCAGTCCATCCAACGCCACCAGGTTGCACCTCAGACTGTCCAGGAGCTCAGTGATGCCCTGGTCCAGATCTGGAAGGAAATACCCCAGGATACCATACGTTGTCTCATTAGGAGCATGCCCCAACGTTGTCAGGCATGCATAGAAGCACGTGGGGGCCATACAAACTACTGAGTACCATTTTGAGTTGCTGCAATTGAATTTCAGCAAAATGGACTAGCCTGCTGCATCAGTTTTTCAGTTTGATTTTTGGGGTGTCTTTGAATTCAGTCTTCTGTAGGTTGATTTTCATTTCCATCAAATGATGGGGCATCCTTTTGTTCCTAACACATTACCTAGTCCATATCAGTATAGATATCCAGCATGTTATTTTTCCCCATTGAGATCTGATGTGTTTTTCAAAGTGTTCCTTTAATTATTTTGAGCAGTGTATAAGGAATAAAGATAACTTTATTGAGGGGATCTTTGTGCCACCATTTGTCCCAGTCCAGACCAACACTGGTCATTGGTCTTTTTATTGTGCAAAATTAGAGATGCTTTATTTATTCTATTTGTTTAAAATGCCAGCATTTGTCTAGGATGGTTTTTCAGAGCTGCCAATGCATCAGCATCACATGCATTTTGGGGCAGAGCCATATCTAATTTTTTTGCCTTCTAGAGCTCCTTTTGACGAACCTTTTCTTAAAGACCACTTTTTGTTATACCCAAGAAAGGATCTATTTTCAGATATAATTTGGATCTAATGACCGATGTTTACAAGCTATTTATTCATTTAGTTGTCACCAACATATAATATATATACTCTTGTGCACCCAAGTCCATGTCTGTATATTGGAATAAGAAGGTCAGAATTAGAAATCATGTTTGCATGAGCTAATACATTTTTGATTCTGCAGTGTACCAAGCTGAAAAGAATTGCCTGACCGCTTCCTTTTGAAAGTTAGTTAAAAGCTTGTGAAGCCCAGGGGCACCTACACTCCATCTGGTTGTGTTAAAACATGCATATATGCATCACATGCTTTTCCAAGGAATCCATCTACCGATCTAAAAGTAGTCCAGTCTTTGGAGCCAACAACCGAGAAAGGGAAGAAACATCTCAATTAACACCTGTGAGAAATGCTTAAAAATCTGAAATGTGTAGAATACTGTTGCTGAACTCCTTGTGAAAATGCTAGCAAGTAAAATTAAATGGAAGGGCGAGTGTCTGGTCTGCATACTGTCTGGGTCAGTGACTCCGTACTCTTGAGGCATTGATGCCATTAGACCAGACAGTTAGCATTTTTAAGATAGGTCAGAATTGGCTGCCTATTTATTTCCCTTAGCATAACTAGCAGGTATTTGCAGTGATTTGAACCTCCAGAAGTTAGACTGTATTAGCAAAGCTACAATGAAGTGCTACAAACAAATTTCTTATTGAATGCTGATACACACCTGTGATTAGGGCCGGACAATGGATTCCTGCAGACGGGCTGTGCTAGACTATTTTGCACCCTAGGCAAGACCAGCTACTTTCACCCCCCCCCCCCCCAAAAAAAAATGGGTGTGGTTTTACATTACACTAAATGTTAGGTGTGGCTTAAAGGGGTGTGGTTAAACAGACTGAAATGAGTTGCATGCAGGATGGAGATGACTGTGTGTGTGCAGAATGGAGGAGATGACATAGTAGATGGCTGTGTGCAGGCTGCAGATGACATGGTTACCTAAATCCTCTGCTTGCCTCCACTGACTGCTCTGAACAATCCGTGTTCACAACTAATTGCAGGTGTGAATGAGCTCTATAGGTCTTTGCCGTGCACTTGTCTTTACACCCATTAAAGTGTATCGTTGGACAATTTTGGATAGAGTAGGGAAGGGTTAGAGCCACCTACTAAGTTTTTATTGTTGTCTGCGTCTCCCTAAGGTAAGTCTCCTTATTTGTGCTGTAGGCCATTATCATTCTAATGAAAAGTGATAGGGAATCCAAAATTTTATGGTTGTCGCTGCAACAGAAGATGAAAGAAAACCTTCAAAATGAGACACCTGTTCTTGTTAATGTTGCAGAGGCAATTTCTACTCCCAACCAACAGGGATTCCTTAGTCTTAGAATGTTCAAATAGGCACAGTTTAATCAATACAGGTGTGTTTTTAAAGTAACTTAAAGCATATCTGAACTCCAAAAATGTAATCTGTTAAGTACTGTTCCAGAGATGTGGTGGCTGCATACAATTTCCTTTTCAAGGGTTTTTTCTCTTCACCTGATGATTCAACCAGACACCCTTTCAGTTGTAGGATGACCACGCTTACTCGCCAACTGTATCAGCTCCATAACAAGGGGGAGCGGTTGTATAGTAGTAGTCAGAGATAGCGGAGAAAAATGTAACTGATTTCCTGTGTTCTCTGCCTGTGGTGACTGCTATTAGCTGGCAATATTAATGGGTAATTTCCTTGTGTTTAATAAAAAGAGCTCACAAAACACCTGCAAGGGTACATTTGCCAGACTCAAGAGGCACCATGCAAGAGAAGTGAATTGCTGGGTTTATGTACCCTTTAATATATCTGTCTTTTATATGTGCTGTAGTGCATATTCTGACTTTGGTATTCACAGACCTGGTATGATGAAATGCTTTTCTATTCTTTTTTTCTTTTTAGCATGTCTGCTGTGACTGCAAGAAAGATTTCTGTTCGGTTTGCTCAATACTTCAGGAGAACCTCAGGCGTTGTAGTACCTGCCATCTACTACAAGAAACAGCATTTCAAAGGCCTCAATTAATGAAACTGAAAGTAAAGGATCTGCGACAGTATCTGACTCTAAGAAACATCCCCACCGAAAGCTGCAGGGAGAAGGAAGACTTGGTGGAACTGGTGCTTTGCCACCATGGCTCATGTCCGGAAGAGGAGATGGATGTTAATATGGACAACTCTGCACGGTCACAGACATCTGCCTTCTCTTTTATTTCTGCTTTATCAGCGCCTTCATCTTCCTTATCCTCATCTCAGGGAGAACTATCTGATAGAAGCGGGAGCATGGGAAGTGCTTCTACATCCCAGGTACTTGGGATTGTACATAGATTAGGCACTCCTGTCTGCAACTTCAAAGGTGTATCAAAAATGCAACCATGCACAAATGCAAGCATATCATGAATTTGCCTGCAGATGACTTACTGTAAAGTTGTATTGTAAATGGCAAAATTGTATTTGAAACTATTCCAGTGTTTCATCAATATAATTGCTCATACAAATAGCCTGATAGTAGAGCAATTATAGTTCTGTAACATTGGCTTTAATATGAACTCTTGATTAAGGATACTTTGAGACATTGTTTGCTGGCTTGATCAAGATAGGCAAGGTACGCTGTTCCCAGTTCTCTGCTCTGTTACCATTTAAGCAGAAGGGAAATCTTAAAGCATCCTTGCCCTCAGTACATGTAAGTGCACAGTGACAGATTCCTGGTCAGCTGTGGCCATCCTGCACTCTTCCATAGTTTTATTCTCCTTTACTAATCTTCAGGCAGCCCATTTATAGCCTTTGTAGGCAGGGGGGCATTTGTACAGTGCTGCAAACAAGGCACTAAAAATCCAAGGTGAAACAAAGCTGGAAAAGCGCATGAATTGATCACTTGAAAATGGGATAATGAATGATATAAGGTCTGGTGCTGAGCACTTATATGTGATAAGGAGAACCAGGGGATGTTTGGAGATAAATGATTATAATTTCAATACCACCTTAAAGTAAATCTGTGGTTGCCCAACATATAGGGCAAAATAAGTTCATTTTAAGGCAAGCCATTCCAGTTGTACATACTAATCTTACTCCCCTACACTCTTTTGGTTTGGGCATTTAAAGTGTTAAAAAAAAAAAAAAAAAAAAAAAAAAAAGTCCTTGTATTACTCTAGGATTCTACCTGGAGCATACATGGGGCTGAGGGCTTTCTCAACACCATTTGACAGCACTGTGTGGTCAATCACCAAATACCAGCTCTGCCAAGGAGCAGAGAAGTAGCAATAGAGAGGGAATATGTGTTGCTGGTGGAGCCACAGTTGAAGTGAATTTGGGCTCCTCTAAATGTGAAGCTGGATTAAATGGAATGAATCCCATTGATTTCATTTTTAAAATGACTAAAACTCTATGTATAATCTTGTTTAGGAAATCTTTATAATCATCCCTTGTCTGTGAAGGTTCTCCTTTACTGTCCCTCATGGATTCTGACACTTCAGCTTGAGTCAGTGGATCTAAGGTCAACCTATACCATACTTTATTTTAATGTTTTAAAGGTCCACTAAGACGACCCTGCACTATGCCTAAGGGCTTATTCACTTCTGAATCCTATACAGCTTAACAGAGCTGCTTGTTTGTGACTGGAGGTGCATGCAAGCAGCCTGTTACTGAACAGGGATGCGGCAGATGCACGAAGACAGTCGCATGTCCTAGTTTTGACAGATGTGTAGGGGTGGATGATTAGGATGTGCATTTGTGCCCGTACAACTGTTGCTTCCCTATTCAGTAACATAGGCTGCCTGCACTCGGCTCCAGCTGCAAAAACAAAAGGCTTTTCTTGCTGTGCGGACCTTAACGCCTGTGTGAAACACCCCTATAAAAGGGAACCTATGTATTAACCAAATAATTTTTATCTGGGCCCTTTCCTCATTATAGGTTTACACTTTTTATCATGGCCTAGTTTTCCCTTGAATAGAAGCAGTAGCACTGTGCTTGTGCAGCGTTTTTAATTAAAAAAAACCCAAAAAGACACCTCCTTATTGAACCAGGTTCTTGAGAACAAAGCCCCTCTTGGATCACCCTCTTTGACACGTTGCACCCAACAAATAGGCTTAGTCACGACACATGACAGTTGGGAATAGGAACCAGAGAGGACCTTGCAGTGGTGCCCATTACATTTGCCTGACGGAGTCCTGCCATCTGCAATTCCCGTGTCACGTGACACCGCCTCATTAGATGGTTTTATGGCTCATAGAGGATCTTGTTCTTTAGACGGGACCTTTTAATCTTAAAGCTTAATGGTTACAGGTTCGCCCTAAGGCTAGGTTCAGACATATAAGCTGAAAATTCGTTCAGGCTTCTAGTTCGATTCAGTGAACAGCTACGGTGTGAATCGCCTGCAGTTCAGCTTGAATACCAATGCGTCTTCCGTGTGATTTTGGTACAGCTGAGTTTTTGGATCTCTCCCTTTTCATCGGTTTAGTGTGTGTGTGTGTGTGTGTGTGTGTGTGTGTGTGTTTTCTTCGTTCGTTCGTTCTCCCTCTCTCCCCTCCTCAATGGTGGTCAGTAACCAAGTGTACACCTATCAAAAACACATTGAAATCGCAATACATATGAACACAGCCATTTTAATTATGCTCTATAGACCTCAAACTTGGATCACACAGCTCCAAACTCACACAACCATTTTTCAAAACGTACTGCGGCTGGACTCCCTACGTGTGAACGATCTCCATAGGAAAACATTTTATTTCTCACGCTATGCAAATCACTGCCCTTCAAAATGAATTAACAAACAGATATGTGTGAACCAGGGCTAAGTCTGATAGTTGCTCTTTTCTCAACTACCTGACCTTATATGCTGCACCCTTATACCCTGGAAAACCACATGTATGGTTGATCAGTTGACAGATGGCAAGTGTCAGACTTTTAAAAGCGTATATAAACTCACCAACAAAAAATATAATCTATTGCAGCTTACCAGTCCTCAGGCTTGGTGGCTGCAGGATTACCAGGTGAAAATAAAAAAAAAAAAATGCAGATAGGAGTTGTCTAACTTAGTGAAACTTTGCTAAATATAGCTGTAATGTATACCTTACATTTCAAGTATTTTATTTCACTTTGCCATTTGTATGATCCTGTATCTAAATTTCCTTTTTATTTTTTAATTTAGTTTATCTAAATGTTATTTGATACTTTATAGCAGGGGTCTCCAAACTTTCTAAACAAAGGGCCAGTTTACTATCCTTCAGACTTTAAAGGGGCCGGACTGTGACCAGTGGGATTAGAAAATGACCTGGCATCAGTAAGAATGCCCCATCGTTGGTATCAGTGGGAGGAATAGTGCCCCATTATTGGAGTCAGTAGGAGGAATAGTGCTCCAGCGCTGATGTCCGTGGGAGGAATATTGCCACATATTTAGTGCCAGTGGGAGGAATAGTCCCCGACTGTTGGGGTCAGTGGGAGGAATAGTCCCCCAGCGTTGGGGTCAGTGGGAGGAGTAGTGTCCCATCATTGGGGTCAGTGGGTGGAGTAGTGCCTCATCGTTGGTCTTAGTGGGAGAAATAGTCCCCCATTGTTGGGGTCAGTGGAAGGAATAGTCCCCCATCGTCGGAATCAGTGGGAGGAATAGTCCCCCATCGTCGGAATCAGTGGGAGGAATAGTCCCCTATGGTCGACGTCAGTGGCAGGAATAGTGTCCCATCCTTGGCATCAGTGGCAGGAATAGTGTCCCATCCTTGATGTCAGTGGCAGGAATAGTGCCCCACTGTTGGTATCAGTGGAAAGAATAGTGCTCCAAGGGCCGGAAAAAGGCAAGCAAAGGGCTGCAGTTTGTAGACCACTGCTGTATAGCAATATAACCAGTGAATTATGTACCCTATAGGTATTCAGTTCTATAATGTATTTCAAAGAAACCCCTCAAAGTACCCAGTGTGCTTTTTTTTTTTTTTTTTTTTTTTTTTTTTTTAGTCTTGCCCTCAAAAAAAAAAATTTACAAGAATTAAATGTATGTAGAAGCAGAACTTTTAAAAATATATTTTGGTAAGCTGACCATACACTGTAAGATTTCTCTTATTCAGCCCCGCAGCTGTCAGAATACCCATTGTTCAGCAAACAACCTTCTGCCTAGCTCTTTTGATTTTCCTTTTGAAATATGTTTGGTGGGAGGGTGCGGACAAGGCCAGTCATGGCTCACATTTTGGCCACTTCATCATAAACCAGACAAAATTTGCTCTCTCTATGGATTTAGATACTTTGTCAAATTTTTAGGATCAGGTTTTTAACCCCTCTTCCTTCCTTTTTTTTTTTTTTTTTTTTTTTTTTTTTAGTGTCACAAGATAAAGTGAGGGGAAATGGTTCATTTTTGTCTGTGACAGCTACAGTGAAAGAAATAAGTATTTGATCCCCTGCTGATTTTGAATGTTTGCCCACTCACAAAGAAATGATCAGTCTAAAAATCGAATGGTAGGTGTATTGTAACACTGAGAGACAGAGTAGCAACGAAAATTTAAAAGAAATGCATGTCTAACAAATGATGCACTGATTTGCATGTTCATGAGGGAAATAAGTATTTGATCCCCTTCACAAAACATGACTTAGTACTTGGTGGCAAATCCCTTGTTGGCAATCACAGAGGTCAGATGTCTCCTGTAGTTCACCACCAGGTTTGCACACATTTCAGGAGGGATTTTGGCCCACTCCTCTTGGCAGATCCTCTCCCAAGTCATTAAGGTTTGGTGGCTGACGTGTGAAAATCTGTGGCAGAAGCTGAAAGTTTGAGTTGCCAATTGAATTAAGGTCTGGAGACTGGCTAGGCCACTCCAGGACCTTAATTTGCTTCTTCTTGAGCCACTCCTTTGTTGCCTTGGCCGTGTGTTTTGGGTCATTGTCGTGCTGGAACACCCATCCACAACCCATTTTCAATGCCCTGACTAAGGAAAGAAGGTTCTCACCCAAGATTTGATGGTACAGTTCCCCGTCCATTGTCCCTTTGATGCGGTGCAGTTGTCCTGTCCCCTTAGCAGAAAAACACCCCCAGAGCAGAATGTTTCCACCAACATGTTTGACAGTTGGGATGGTGTTCTTGGGGTCATAGGCAGCATTCCTTATCCTCCAAACATGGCGAGCTGAGTTGATGCCAAAGAGCTTGATTTTGGTCTCATCTGACCACAGCACTTTCAACCAGTCCTCCTCTGCATCATTCAGATGTTCAGTGGCAAACTTAAGACGGGCCTGGACATGTGCTTTCTTGAGCAGAGGGACCTTGCTGGCACTGCAGGATTTCAATCCTTGTCGGCGTAGTGTGTTACCAATTGTTTTCTTGGTGACTGTGGTCCCAGCTGCCTGGAGATCATTGACAAGATCCTCACGTGTAGTTCTGGGATGATTCCTCACTGTTCTCATGATCATTAACGCTCCACGAGATGAGATCTTGCATGGTGCACCAGACCTAGGGAGACTGACAGTTGTTTTGTGTTTCTTCTATTTGCGAATGATTGCACCAACTGTTGTCACCTTCTCACCAAGCTGCTTGGCGATAGTTTGGTAGCCCAGTCCAGCCTTGTGTAGGTCTACAATCTTGTCCCTGACATCCTTGGACAGCTCTTTGGTCTTTGCCATGGTGGAGAGTTTGGAATCTGATTGTTTGATTGCTCCTGTGGACAGGGTCTTTTTATAGAGGTCACAAAATGAGATTAGCAGCACTCCCTTTAAGAGTCTGCTTCTAATCTCAGCTTGTTACCTGTATGAAAGATACCTGGTAGCCAGAAATCCTGCTGAATGATAGGGGATCAAATACTTATTTCCCTCATGAACATGCAAATAAGTGCATCATTTGTTAGACATGCATTTCTTTTGACTTTTTTGTTGCTATTCTGTCTCTCGGTGTTACAATACACCTACCATTGGATTTTTAGACTGATCATTTCTTTGTGAGTGGGCAAACATTCAAAATCAGCAGGGGATCAAATACACATTTCCTTCACTGTATCTAAATGGGCTGAACAAGAGAAAACTGTATTTTCCCCATTCACACTAAACAACGTGGACAGAAAAACCTTTTTCCAGCTATTCTGACATCCAGCTTCCACAGCTGTCAGAATACCCAAACAGTGGCTGCATCTGATTGGATGCAGCTGCTGTTCTTGCTGACTGTTTTATGTCCAGCTTCTTTGAACAGCTGCATGTATGGTTAGCTGAAGAGGGGGAATTCCTCTCTTTGGAGAGACTTTTCACTTCCTCTTGATTCTCCAGGACAGGAAGTGAAGGAAGCTCTCCCTAACAAGAGAAAATAAATCCAACAGGTTTTTAAACCCTCTCTACTCTATCCAAAAATTAAAAAAAAAAAAAAAAAAATCTGGCTTCACATACACTTCTTAAGACAAAGAACTTATTAGGAAAAAAAATAAATACACCCAGACCTCCGCTTCTAACCATTTCCTGAAGGTGCCAGTGATGTGCCATACTACTGTTTCCTGGGAAAGCTGGATCCTGCAGAAATGTGCAGCAATACAGAAGAACTTCCTCCTTGGATGTTGGGTTGAAAGCTGCAGTCTGAGCTGTTGAATGGTTTGTTTTTTAAAATATCTAAAAAGTTCATTTTTTCCTAGATAAACAAACTCTGCCTTATTTATGCAGGGTCTGCTTCACGAAGCAGTAAGTGAGCTTTAAAGCCAACCTTCACTTGCCTCTGTAGCAGCAGTGCTTTTGCTGTGAGGATGAAGCACTCTAAAGTGCCTATAGCTGCAGAGGTAAGGGATACTTTGTTTTTAGGCTCATATACAGCAATGTAGTAATGTAAAACTATAAGCATGTCATATACTACCACTGACCACATTTAAAATTTGAAAGGGATATGTTTTGAATCCATGACATGTTATGTCACTGTTATTCATACTAGTGCATAAGGGCATAAATATGAGTACATACAAGCCTTGCCAGAAAGAAGCACGTTGTTAATGTAGAGGCCTGTAATTATCTCTTCACCACTTATGGTTTCTAGTGATTCAGTCTGTCTGTGCTGTAATATCGCATGATAGGATTCCTCATGACCCACCCGGCTGTCTTCTGCTTTACAAAATAGACTGTGTTGCTATATAAAATATCTGATTCTGAAACCACAAATGTTTTTAGACAAGTGGACTGGGACAGTTATAAAGTTAACATACCTATGAAAAGGATTTGATTGTCACATGTTTATCTGTGTGTTTTCAGGGAACAAGTGAAAACATATCAGTAGCATCAGATACAGAAGCCCTGGAAAACCAAGTAAGTACCTTTTTAACTGATCTACAAAGAAGCTCAGACTAGTATGGCTGTGGGGAAACTAATATGAAGAAGAATCTCTTTGTATTAAACTCTTGTACAGTGTAGTATATTTGTGAAAACTGGAGCCAAAGAGAAATTCAGAATACTTTAATACTCTCAAAGGGAAATTATTAAGATGGATTGCTTCCAAACTATCAATGTTTAGAGCCTGATTTGTTACCCAAGATGACGCCTGTATATATAGGGGGGCTGCTAAATCCCCAATCCTCCTTGATGCGCATATACACTATACTGCCAAAAGTACTGGGATGTCTGCCTTTACACACACACACACACACACACACACACACACACACACACAGGAACTTTAATGGCATCCACAAGGTTTAGGAGGGTGTCTATGGGAATGTTTGACCATTCTTCCAGAAGCACATTTGTGAGGTCAGGCACTGATGTCGGGCGAGAAGGCCTGGCTCGCAGTGTCCGTTCTGATTCATCCCAAAGGTGTTCTATCGGGTTGAGGTCAGGACTCTGTACAGGCCCAGTCAAGTTCCTCCACGCAAACTTGCTCATCCATGTCTTTTTGGAACTTGCTTTGTGCACTGGTGTGTAGTCATGTTGGAACAAGAAGGGGCCATCCCCAAACTGTTCCCACAAAGTTAGGAGCATAAAATTGTCCAAAATGTCTTGGTATGCTAATGCCTTAAGCGTTCCCTTCACTGGAACTAAGGGGCCAAGCCCAACTCCTGAAAACTACACACCATAATCCCCCCTCCACCAAACTTTGCAGTTGGCACAATGCAGTCAGGCAAGTACCGTTCTGGCAACCACCAAATCCAGACATGTCCATCAGATTTCCAGACAGTGAAGCGTAATTCGTCACTCCAGAGAACACGTCTCCACTGCCCTAGAGTCCAGTGGCGGCGTGCATTACAACAGTGCATCCAATGCTTTGCATTGCACTTGGTGATGTAAGGCTTGGATGCAGCTGCTCGCCATGGAAACTCATTCGTTAGACATGCATTTCTTTTGATTTTTGGTTGCTATTCTGTCTGTGTTACTGTTACAATACACCTACCATTCGATTTTTAGACCGATCATTTCTTTGTGAGTGGGCAAACATTCAAAATCAGCAGGGGATCAAATACTTATTTCCTTCACTGTATGATACACCAGAGCTGTAGGGTCTGGCAGAAAAAAACTCTATAAACATTAGTTATTGCAGGTAGCAACAGAATGTGAAATGAGTGCATTGATAAATACATACACTCCAGGCGTTCTTTCTTCTTCTTTTCTCTCTTTTTTTTTTTCACTTTGCTAAATCTCTTTAGGCTAATGATCTCTCACGAAAACAGGCGAGAGCCTCGCTGTCTGACTTATCAACGCTGGATGAAATAGAGGCACTTACGATCCGACAACTGAAAGAAATCCTGGCTCGCAACTTTGTCAACTACTCAGGCTGCTGTGAAAAGTGGGAGCTAGTGGAGAAAGTCAACCGGCTGTACAGAGAGAATGAGGATAACCGAAAGTCCTGTACGTTGGGTGATTTAGTGATTGTTCTTTATCAGTTTAGCTCTGCATTAATTTGTGTGGGTAAAGAATAAAGGAGGATTAAAGTATATGTAAACCGTCACCTTGTAAAACAACCCATTCGGTTTAAAATAGAAATGAGGCTCCATGCACACTAGCGGTTTTTGGGGTTTTTGTAAGCTAAAAAAAACACAGATAATGGTGTTTAGTAGCATTTTATCAGCGGTTTTTAGAAGCGTTTAGTAGCATTAGCGTTTTATTATTTTATTGTACATGTAGGGGGAAAAAAACAAAAGACGGTAGCAATTTAGGAGCGTTTTTCTGCTGGAAAAAAGCTCCCAAAGACTCTACAAAAACAATTTTATTTATTTTTATTTTTTTTTCTGCTCTTAAACGCTGAAATTTGAAAAACACTACTAGCCTAAAATAGTGTGCATAGACACATAGGATAACAATATTTAGCTTCTAAGAGCAGAAAAAAAAAAAGCTAACAGCTTCTAGGAGCTTAAAAAAAAAATGCTAGTGTGCATGGAGCCTGAAAGGCAAAACATTTGTATGTAGATAAAAATGTGTTTTGTTGTTTTTTTTTTTTTTTTTTTTTATAACACTTTTTTTTTTATAAGTGATCACATACCCCCTGTTCGCAGCTGCATAAGTGCCGGGGGAGCTGGAGAAACAGCTGTACACTGATCTTCCCAGTGAAAGGCTGTGCAGGAAGGGGGGCTGTCAGGACAAGTGTGATCATTGGAGGAGAGCAGGCTAAGTTCCCAGCAGAGCTAGAGAACTGACCAAACTGTTCTGTTATGTCTAATGTAGTCAGTTTTTAATAGGAAAGTAGAGGGACTGGTCTATTTCATTGTTTCTCAACCTTTTTTCAGTCAAGATACCTTTTTAAAATTATACACATACTCTCGGCACCTCAGTTTAAACTGTAAAAAATGAAACTAATAAGGTTACAAAAGGCAGCAGCAGGATCCCCATATGTAGCACACACAACATTAGAGGTTTATTTTTACAATAAAAAATATACATATTGTACACGGATACTGACTAGTATTCTAGCATATCTCTTCTTTCTCAATTTCTTTCCCTTGCGCAGTTAACGTGACCCTAGTGATAAGGAAGAGTAAACCAGAGTGCTGTGCAGGCACCCACATGCTCCTTTTCAACTGATGCTGTCGGTGGTAAAGACATGAACAGCTGGCCTGAATGGTGCCCAAAGCTGCACAATAAAAATCTGTGCCTTTTGTGTAACATAAAAAAATGGGTTTTATCCACCTGCCAGCTTGTTGACAGTTTTGGGGCAATTTTTAGGCTTTTTGCCACGGCATCCCTAAAGAACTCAGACGGCCCCCTGGTTGAAGGCTACTCTAGTTGATGCGGTGACACATAAAGGAAAATACTTTGAGCACAATTCTCATAAGAAATGCCTTGTGAGCAGCTGTTTGTGCTCTTCTACTTCTTTCATTCTCTGTATGCTAAAGGCACCCTTTAGGTATACCTACAGTTATGGTGAGCGTACACGTTGCCCATTAATGCTGAGATATTTTCTCACTACTTTCTGTATAGCTGAATGAGTGAGATAGCAAAGGATCCAGTGTCACTGCTGCCACCTAGAGAATCGCCTGAGAACGAATGCTTATCTTGTAGTTGCACCCGTGTTGTTTCAATACAAGTTGGTCTACGGGAGAGCTAAAGCCCTTCTACTTTTACATTGGCTTTTATGTGTGTTTAAAAATACCCAGTACAACATCTACATATAGTGTTTTTTTTTTTTTTTTTTTTTAAATTTATATAAATATATGTGTGTGTGTCTGCGCGCTATATACTGTTATGTTTTTATGATTTAAAAAATGGTGGTATTTTTATATAATCATAAACCCTAATCTTAAAAATTTTTTTTTTTTTTTTTTTTCCTTTCTCAGTGGAACATCTAGAATTCAAACCTAACCAAGGTTAGTTACATTTTTATTTTAACAAAATCTGAACACCAGAGATCTGCACTTCCCTTTCCCCATAAAGTTAATCTGCACTATCAAAACCAGTTGGTTGCGGGACCTTGTGGAATATAGAAAAAGAGTATAAAGGAGAGGGATATATCTTCTTCCTTTTTTTTTTTTTTTTTTTTTTTTTTTTTTTTTTTTTTGTCGTGTCTTCATGTGTGTAGGCATGAAATACTAGCTTTTGTATAAGAAAAGTGGCTCATAGATTGGGTTGGGGAAGGCTAAGAATTGGGATGGGTGATAGCGGTTGTTGCATATTTGCTGTGTTGTATGCTTGATGTGTATCTTTATCAGTGTTTATGTGAAAAATTGGATTTTTTTTTCTACATACTTGTAAAATCCATTTCTTGTAGTACATCAGGGGACACAGAGTAGGCTATATTCATTAGTCTGGGTTATGCACCACCTATAGGCGAATGGACACTTGAAGACCAAACATGAGGTCATCCTCAATATAACCCCTCCCATACAGGAAGTACCTCAGTTTTTTGTAGCAATCAATGAAAATCCCAGAGAGGGGGTGGGATCTCTGTGTCCCATGATGTACTCTACAAGTAATGGATTTTACAGGTATGTAGAAAATAAAATCCAATTTTCTTTATGGTACATTACAGGACACCAAGCAGGCTATATTCATTATTATCTGAGATGTCCCAAAGCAATATTCTTGAGGGGAGGGAGACACACTCTCAGAAACCGCCATCAGACCAGGATCTACAGTGGGGAAAATCATTTTATTGGACCCCCTGCAGATTTTGTTCCCCTGCAGAATTTGTAAATTTACCCACTTACAAAGAAATGAAGAGTCTCTAATTTTTATCATCAGAGTATTTTAAATTATAGGGACAGAATATCATCAAAAATCCAGAAAAAACAATACAAATGTTATAAATTGGGTTGCAGTTCAGTGAATAAAATAAGTATTTGATCCCCTACCAACCAACAATAATTCTGCCTCCCACAGACTAGCTATGTGCTCATGTGGTACACAGATTAGTCCTGTCAATTTTATGAAGGTGCTCCTAATGACAACTCGTTATGTGTATAAAAGACACCTGTCCACATAATTTTTCTTCCATTCAAACCTCACCATCATGGGCAAAGAGCTGTCAAAGGATGTCAAGACCGTAGATTGTAGACCTTCACAAGGCTGGAATGGACTACAAGACCATCAGCAAGTAGCTTGGTTAGAAGGGGACAACTGTTGGTGCGATTATTCGCAAATGAAGGAAATACAAAATAACCATCAATCGCACTCATTCTGGACCTCCATGCAAGATTTTGCCTCATGGGGTAAGGATGATCATGAGTAGAGTGAGGGATCAGCCCAGAACTACACGGGAGGAGCTTGTGAATGATTTCAAGGTAGTTGGGACCACAGTCACCAAACAAACCATTGGTAACACAATACGCCACCATGGATTGAAATCCTGCAGTGCCTGCAATGTCCTCCTCCTCAAGAAGGCACATGTACAGGCCTGTCTGGAGTTTGCCAATGAACATCTAAATGATTCGGAGAAGGATTGGGAGAAAATTGAGCTCTTTGGCATTAAATCGACTCGCCGTGTTTGGAGGAAGAAAAATGATGACTATGACCCTAAGAACACCATCTCTACAGTCAAGCACGGAGGTGGAAACATTATGCTTTGGGGCTGTTTCTCTGCTAAAGGCACAGGCCAGCTTTGCTGCATTGAGGGCCAATGGATGGGGCCATGTATAGTAAAATATTGAATGATTACCTTCTTCCCTCAGCCAGTACACTGAAGATGGGTCTTCCAGTATGGCAATGACCCAAAACATACCGCCAAGGCAACAAAGGAGTGGCTCAAGAAGAAACACATTAAGACCATGGAGTGGCCTGGCCAGTCTCCAGACCTTAATTCTATAGAAAATTTATGGAGGAAGCTGAAACTTCGAGTTGCCATGCGACAGGCAAGAAACCTTAACCTCTTCTCTACCGCGCTATAGCCGAAAGATGGCTACAGCGCGGTTGTCTAGTTCTGGGACGACATCCATGGATGTCATTCCAGAACATGGCCCCAGGGACGTGCACCCAGCGCCGCCGGTGATCGCAGTGTCCTATGGACACAGCTGATCACATGATACGGTAAACGGCCAATCACAGAAGCCTTTTACCATGTGATCAGCTGTGTCCAATGACAGAGCAGATCACCGGGTAAATACAGTTGCCAGTTATCGGCTGCACTTTCCTCACACTGTCACAACATGAGGAGAAAAGTACTGCCGATAACCGGCAATTGTCAGAGAAGTGATCGGCACTGATAATCAGGGCACTGATGATCACTGCCCATCAGTGCCACCCACCTGTGCTTAGCAGAGCCACCCATCAATGCTACCTATCAGTGCAGCCTCATCAATGCACATCAGTGAAGGAGAAAAACTACCCGTATGCTAAATTTTATAATAGAAACAAAGAACTTTTTGTATTTTTTTTTCAAATTTTTTGCTCCTTTTTTTTTTTGTTTTGTTTTGTTTATAGCACAAAAAATAAAACACCTAGTGGTGATTAAATACCACCAAAAGAAAGCTCTATTTGTGTGGAAACAAAATGATACAAATTTCATACGGGTACAGTGTTGCATGACCATGGAATTGTCATTCAAAGTGCGACAGCTCTGAAAGCTGAAAATTGGCCTGGGCAGGAAGGGTGTATAATTACCCAGTAGGCAAGTGGTTAAGGATTTAGAGAAGATCTGTAAAGAGTGGACCAAAATCCCTCCTGAGATGTGTGCAAACCTGGTAACCAGCTACAAGAAATGTCTTACCTCTGTGCTTGCCAACAAGGGTTTCTCCACTAACTACCAAGTCATGTTTTACTTGGGGATCAAATACTTACTTACTTTACTCACTGAACTGCAGCTGCATTTGTAATACTTGTATCATGTGGTGTTTTTTTTTGTTTTTTGATTTTTTTCTCTTGGTTTTTTGGTTGATATTCTGTCTCTACATTTAAAATACACCTATGATAAAAATTATAAACCCTTCATTTCTTTGTAAGTGGGCAAACTTACACAATCTGCAGGGGACCAAATAATAATTTTCCCCACTGTGTTCTGCCGCCTGTAATACACTGTGACCAAAGGCTGTATCCTCTGCAGCCCTAACATCCACCTGGTAGAACCTTGTGAATGTATACACAGAAGACCAAGTGGCGGCCTTGCAAACCTGAGCCATGGACGCCTGATGATGAATCTCCCAAGAAGCTCCCACACCTTGAGTAGAGTGTGCCCCAACCCATAAGGGGAGATCCTTTCCCTTCAAACCGTAGGCCTGAATGATTAACTGATGGATCCAATGAGAGATAGTTGCTTTAAATCCTGCTTGCCCTGGCCAGTGCCCTTCTGGCAATACAAATAAGGATTCAGAACTGAGGATCTATCTGTATGTAGTATGAACAGTCCTGATCTGTGCTGACATTTTCAAAGAATGCAGTAATCTCCATGGCAGAGCGAGCATTTGGAAATAAGGTGGGTAGAACAATGTCCTGATTTAAATGAAAGCTAGAAACCACTTTTTAGGCAAGAAAAATGGATGAGGGTACAACACCATCTTAGTTGGTCTGGTTGGGGCTGCCAGTCTCCATTCACCTATAGGTGGCGCATTACCCAGTTGGTAAAGAATATACACTGCTGTGTGTCCCGTGATGTACAATAAAGAAATACGATTTTAAAAAATTTGAAAAACCAACAGTAGAAGGGGCAGGGAGGAGAAGCAGGATGCTGGTAACACCTTATCAGGTACCAATAATAGTGGTTTCAGAGGGTTTCAGAATCGCACACAGACATTGTTGCCCAGTAATAGCCAACTGTATCCATGGATACTCATAGGCTCGCCATACATTATACAATTTTCTTATTTAATTTCCTTTTAGATTTACCTTCAACTATGTACTGCAAGGACCTGTCTGATTGCATACAAATTGAAAGTGTTTAGGTTTGACCTCCATATTAAATGGTTTTGGAAAATTTCTCAAGAAAGTTGTATAATGTATGGCCAGCCATACTCCTTATACCACTAGTTGTTTCATGAAGTAATATGGGTTCTGTGCCCAACATAACGTTTCATTTATACAGCTCTCCCCTCTTTCTGGATACACTTGTCTAACATATCTGTTTCTTTCAGAACGTGATCGGCTGCAGTTGACCGGTAATGATGACAACCTCTGCCGAATTTGCATGGATGCTGTAATCGACTGTGTTCTCCTGGAGTGTGGCCATATGGTAACATGTACCAAATGTGGCAAGAGGATGAGCGAGTGTCCAATCTGCCGCCAGTATGTGGTGCGGGCTGTTCACGTCTTCAAATCTTAAATATCCAGACCAAATAAAATGTGTATGACTTGGCTCTACTACTTCTTGGAGCTCAAAGTGTGTAAAAAAAGGAAAAATGGTTTTCTGTATAGCTTCTGAGTGATATGTTGTTAGAGATGTTTTGTAATACAGTTAGGATGTATACATGAGAAGTGTTCAGACAACTGCATGCTGGTGTGTGTTTATGAATCTGGAATGAATGATCTCATTCTAAGAAATAAAATATTTACTTGTGGAATGGAAGACTAAAAAACATGTTTATTAAAGTAAATTTCAACACTACATTGCTGGTGATTTTCACATCTTAAAGTGGAGCTTAAGTAGTTCTAATGGCTCCAGGTTTTTTACCTTCATGCATTCTATGCATGAAGCTAAAAACTTTGTGTGCTACAGCCCCCCTAATACTTACCTGAGCCCCCTCTCAATTCAGCAAAGTCCACGAGAGCCTCAGCTCTCCAGGGGTACTCACTAACACCATTGGCTCCCACTGCTGTCAATCACAGCCAGTGAGCCAATCGGGAGGGGGCAGGGCTGACCCGTGGCTGTGTGTGTGAATTGACATGCAGAGCCATGGCTCGGGAACGCGTCTGTATGGGTGCCCCCAGAGTAAGCTGCTTGTTCTTGGGGCGCTCAGCAGGAGGGAGGGGCAAGCTAGAGTGCTGGTAGGGCTGCTCTATGCAAAACCACTGCACAGTGCAGGTAATGTATTTTTTGCTCCATAAGACTCACTTTTTTTCCCCCCAAAAAAAAGGGGGGAAAATGTCAGTGCATCTTATGGAGCGAATATAAAGCTGCCGATCCGGTATTTCCGCCGCCACTATGTCCGAATACCGGGCCGGCCGCTCAGCTGTTCTCTGCGGCAGGAACTCGCCTGTTCCTCGGTCCAGTGCTGTAGTCTTCCCGCACCGGCTTCTTCCAGCCCCGGCATCTGTGACAGCCGGGTGCCCACTGTGCGTGCGCGAGAAGCGCTGCACTTTGTGAATGGTCCGGTGTCTCTGGGACACGAGACAAGTCCCAAAAGATGCAGGGCCATTCACAAAGCGCAGCGCTTCTTGCGCATGTGCAGTGGGCACCCGGCTGTCAAAGTCGGGTGCCCACAGTATAGGAAGGAGAACTCCGCGGAAGTGGGAGCGGGTACCTGTCAAATTCAGGTACCCGCTCCCCCTCCCTAAAGGTCCGCAGTGTCTGGTCATGCCCTGTACTGTCTGCAGACAGTACAGGGGATGACCAGAGACTGCGGACAGTACAGGGGATGACCAGAGACTGCGGACAGTACAGGGGATGACCAGAGACTGCGGACAGTACAGGGGATGACCAGAGACTGCGGACAGTACAGGGGATGACCAGAGACAGTACAGGGGATGACCAGTCTCTGGGCATCTGTACTGTCCCTGCAGTCTCTGGTCCATCTCCTGTAGTGTGTCCGCAGTCTCTGGTCTATCTCCTGTAGTGTGTCCGCAGTCCATTGGTTCAGAATATTTTTTTTTTTTTTTTACTTGTTTTTTCGCCTCTAAAACCTAGGTGCATCTTATGGAGCGAAAAATACAGTACGTATACCGTGTTAGTAAAGTCTTATTAGTCTTATTATTATTTTTATTTTAATATTGCTTTAAGTGTGCATTAACAAATTTTGTAAGAAGGAAGAATTTTTTTTTTTGCAGAAGAGACAAACAGTACTTTGTGTCTTCTGCAATAAAGGATTCTTCCTAACTGACCTTAAACTCTACACAGAGCTGTGCATGTGCACAACAACTACTGTTGGTAGTTGGATAATTTTTGGCGACACAATGGTTGTGTAACCATTCATAATCTTTAAATGATGGCACACAAGGCTATAGAAAAGATACATTCAAAATCACATTTAGATCCTGGGATCTAAAACAATGTTATACAAATCGTAATGAAGTACTTGCTGGTGCTCCCTTTTTTTTGTATTATTAAGGGACTTCTATCTCTGAGCAATGTGTTCTGCTCTGTTGTGGAACTTCTGACATTTTTTCATCTATCAGATGCATATTGGGGCCAACACAGCAGAGCTTCACTGCAGTTTATCTATGGAGAAGCAATGTTCTCACCCTAGGACTGTAGGTGTGTTGGGGGCTATAGAGCACCACCTCTGTGAGCTTCAGAACACCTCCCTGTATGTTATGGATGGATGGAAGGAGAATCATGAATATTAGGATTTTTGTACTCGCTGTAAAATCTGAAACTTTTTTTTTTCATACTTACCATAATTTTCCTTTTGACAGTGAGCTCCATGGTAGCATGCACATGGGTAGTCTCCTCCATGGGTGTCCATCTCTAAATTTGTACTCCTCCCCAGACACAGCCAACTTCAGTGGAGTGGGATATTATGCTGCCATGGAGCTCATCCGGAAAAGAAAACGTTAGGGAATTCAGAAAATTGTTTTCATACTTACCGATTACTCCATGTCAGCATACACATGGGAAATAACTAGACAAGACAGGCTGGGAATTCTAATATTTAAATCCATAGAGGTGGCAGAAGAAAGTACTCTCTGACCAAAAGCAACAGTCATAAGAGACGCAATAACACGTTATGAAGGTATGGACATGCACTCTCTTGCCATAAGTGGAATGAGCCGGTACTCCATTTGCCACACCTTCGCACATTTAGGCCATGGAAATTGTCTTGACCAAGCAAGATGCGATCACCCGACTGGAAGCCTTTTTCCCTTTATTTGCACCAGTTGGCAATACCATCAGATGAGATGAAGGGAGCTGTAACCTTAAGGTATGCCTGAAGGGATTTTCCCATTGCTTACTTGCACTGAGTCTGATGAGAGGAGGCTAGGAAGAAATACTGAAAGGCCGAAGTCACCTTGGGTGTAATTCCTAAGAATTAGAACCACCCTGTCAGCAAAGAAAGTGGTGAAGGGCTCCTTAGTCCCTGGTGCAGCTATTTCAGAAACACTCCTTTCTGAAGTGATTGCAACTAAAAAGGCTGTCTTCAGGGTGCTAGTGTTCCGATACCAGAGCAAAATCCTTGCTTCAGGGAGTCCAAAACTAGTGGAAGAGCCTACTTTAGAAAGAGGAGTTTTCTTGATGGTCTCAATCTTGTCACTGCATTGAAGGATTGGATGCCCACTGGGTTCTTGAGAAGGCTGAGATAACTGAAGCATATCTCTTCAATGGACTGAGGCCTATTTCAAGGCCATTCTGTAGGAACTCTAGCACATTGTGTACCTGAAGGTTTAATGATGGACAAAAACACGAGCAAGTACAAACATTTTAAATTGCTGCCACACCCTGTTAAAGTGTTTTTTTTTTTTTTTTTTTTAAAATTAGTACTGGGTTTCCTCGATTTTAGAAGTGTACCTCAACCTTGATTGTGAAACCTAGGGTCTAACCATAAGGACCCTGAGGGTACAGATTTCTGAGCTTGAAGTATTTTAGAAACAAGGCTTGCAAAAGACTTTGATTAGATGATTCATCTCTGCGTGGGAAAGAATCACACCCATAGCATTAAAGGTAGTAACTTTGTTGGATATTTGCAAAGTATTGAAGGATCTGATCCTTTTTCTGTTTGAACTCCTGTAGGTTTCTTTTTTGACTGCCTTTCTCCTGGCTATAACGTCAGCTGGGAGAATAGGTGATTTTTTAGGCACTGTCTATTAAATTATGTATCTTTAACCATTCTACCTGATACACTGGGCCTACCTTCAGGACTATTCTATCTTCCCAAGGTGGCCTCAAGCTTTCATAGTATGTAGAAATACCAAAGAGGAAGAAATCCAATTATTGGATGTGTATAGATGCATACTCCACTATCTGGAGCTGGCAAGAGAATTTAAGAGATCCAGTTACATTGTAAGTAGTTTTTTAGTGCTCAAAAGAAAGGTCTCCAAGCCTCTAAGAACTCAATTATCATATATATCCTGGAGACTATTTCCTACATACACTGCTCAAAAAAAATTAAGGGAATACTTTGAAAACACATCAGATCTCAATGGGGAAAAATCTCATGCTGGATATCTATACTGATATGGACTGGGTAATGTGTTCGGAACGAAAGGATGCCCCATCGTTTGATGGAAATTATCACCCTACAGAGGACTGAATTCAAAGACACCCTGAAAATCAAAGTGAAACAATGAAGCAGCAGGCTAGACCATTTTGCTGATATTTTATTGCAGCAACTCAAAATGGTACTTGGTAGTTTGTATGGCCCCCAAGGTCGGGGCATGCTGCTAATGAGACAATGAATGGTGTTCTGGGGTATTTCCTCCCAGATCTGGACCAGGGCATCACTGAGCTCCTGGACAGTCTGATGTGCAACCTGGTGGCATCGCATGGACTGAAACATGATATCCCAGAGGTGTTCTATTTGGATTTAGGTCAGGTGAGTGTAGGGGGCCATTCACTGGTATCGATTCCTTTATCCTCCAGGAACAGTCTGCATACTCTTGCCACATGAGGCTGGGCATTGTGCACCAGGAGGAATCCAGGACCCACTGCACCAGTGTAGGATCTGACAATGGGTCGAAAGATTTCATCCAGATACCTAATGGCAGTTAAGGTGCCATGGTCTAGCCTGTAGAGGTCTGTGCATCCCTCCATGGATATGCCTCCCAGACCCACCATTAAAACGGTCATGCTGAACAATGTTACAGGCAGCATAACGTTCTCGATCGCTTCTCCAGACCCTTTCACGTCTGTCACGTGCTCAGGATGAACCTGCTCTCATCTGTGAAAAGCACAGGGGACCAGTGGCGGACCTGCTAATTCTGGTGTTCGATAGCAAATGCCAATCGAGCTGTATGGTGCTGGGCAGTGAACACGGCCCACAAGAGGACGTCGGGCCCTCAGGCCACCCTCATGAAGTCTGTTTCTGATTGGTCAGAGACATTTACAGCAGTGGCCTGCTGGAGGTCATTATGTAGGGCTCTAGCAGTGCTTATCCTGTTCCTCCTTGCACAAAGGAGCAGATACCGGTCCTGCTGATGGGTTAAGGACCTTCTATTGCCCTGTCCAGCTCT